TAAGTACAGATTGCATGTCTGTGTGGTCATAAATAAATTATTTATTTACGATAAGAGTTAATTAAAAATAAAAATACATTTACCATAAGATTAACTAATGATAAACAGGTGAAATGAAAAATGCATATTAAATAAGCACAGTTTGGAATATGTAGAAGGGTATGTCTATTTGGGTCAGTTAGTATCCTTCGCATATAGAAGAACAAAGGAAGTCCAAAGGAGAATAGCACTCGACTGGAATACATTTTGGTCCCTCAAGCGTAATATGAAAAGTATTGGTCCAAAAAGAAAAGTCTTCGAAGGTTGCATTAGCCCATTGGTTACCTATTGTCATGTACTTCTTTGGAAAAACTAAAAATTTATATATTGAATTAATCATACGTGAATGCAGTTGATTACTTTTCTATAAAAATATAGGTTGTTTTAAAATGTGATTATGTGTATTTATCATGTTTAATTAAAGATATAACAATTGGCGAGATGAAAGTACTAAATTTCTGATACTCAAGTTATTATGGGCACCTATTTTCAACTCACAGTTAAATTTTATCTTTTATTTTGATTTTATAAATAATTCAATTTCTAACCGTAACAATCGATGCATATCAATTCAAAATACTATTAGAGGCATTCAATCAACAATAACAGACTATGATCCAACAACTTGCTACCTGTCTTGTAAGGTATGACAAATAATTCAGACTCTTTACATATTCTGAAACTTCGATATTCGAAAACTTCGTTTCGACGAAAGAAATATTTTCTTGTTATATTGTCCGTTTCGAAAACTATTTAGACATTAAAAATATTCAAGATGATGACAAAAAGGCACAAATTTTAACTATTAGTATTGGGCCAAAACATTATAATGAACTAGTCGCGTTTCTTAAACCGTAGACGCCGATTAAGTCATGTAGCTATAATAGCTTAATCGAGTTATTTTCTCAATTATTAACTACAAAAAAGAGTGCAGTAGTGGCTCAACATTTTTTAAAAAATATTTACCATGGGGAACAGACCATATCACAATTTGTAGCTGCACTTCGACGCGATTTAGCAGAATGCAAGTTCATAATACAGTGCTCATGTAAACGTCAATTATCGGTCACGAATATATTTTCGCGAGCCCAGTTCATAAGAGGACTCCGTGATGATTGGATTCGGAAGTCATTTTTACAGACCACTGTAACCACTTTTGAGAAGATGCTAATGAATGCCTTGGCTTTAGAGGCTTCGCAAATAAAAAGCAAGGTACTACCACGTTCAGAATCCAAAAATACTTGGAGTTTTTATGAAGATGAACACGCGATATCGAATTTTTTCCAGGGCACAGGTTCACGTCCCCATTCTAGCAGTTCAGCCGGCAACAGGAGCAATTTTTCGGATCGTGGCAGTAGACCTCGCTCAAAGAGCTCATCATATCGTTTTGGACGCCGCTCTCCTTCTCCCAAACGGAGGCGTCTGACTGTAGGGAAAAACGACAAGATGCTTATTGCGAGGAGTGTGGAAGAGAGGGTCATGTCGCTACAGTTTGCATTACAAGTCTCGTGAATTTCGCATGAATCTTCAAATTAGTATCCATGTACTTCTCGTTCACTCGGGTTGTTCAATACCTTCTCCTCTCTCACACATTCGATTAACAATTCTTCTACATCCATTGCACACGGAGCACTGAACGAAAATAACATAATTTGCGCAGTGGGATCAGGCAGGAAAAAAAGGTAACAGTGGATAAAGTCACCCATTGTTTGAATAATTTAGCCACACGGTTGCGTGACAGTGACGAGTAGGTGTGGTGGAGGAAGCTGAGCGTAGCTTCAAAACAGAACCTCGGTCGACTCAAACATAAGTGGACCCCATTGCAAAGCCGCTCAACTGTGTTCAACACCGCTCCGCATCTGGTGGTCGGACTTTCTTTAAACACCTTTGGTTCGGCTTTGGAAACAGTTTCAGCTACGCTCATCACTGCGGTTAGCCCCACTTTTGGTGGCCGGTCTGCCGTAGGCTCGAATCAAATATTTGAAAAATCGAATATTTTCCTTAAAAATTCGATTAATAATTATTCCACATCCATTGCATATTTAAACTGAACCAAAATAAAATAACTTGAGAGGTCACGCAGTGAGAGCAAGCGGAAAGAAAGGATGACGCTGAGGAACGGTTGTGAGGCAGTGGTGAGTAGGTGTGGTGGGGGAAGCTGAGCGTAGTTTCGAAACTGAACTTTGGTCGAGTCAAAGCTGAACGGAGCTTGCGACGCCGCTCAACTGTGCTTAACTCCGCTCCGCATTTGGTAGCCAGCCTTTCATTAAAACTTTGGTTTTGGAAGTTGACTCAGCTACGCTCAGCTCAGCTTTCGGTGGTCGGTAAGTCTTAAGAAGATCCAGATTATAGTAGTTATTTTTAGTAGTTATCAGATTATATTCAATCTATCGATATTTATTTGCAATGAAGAATTGAATGTAGTGGGAAATACAGCTGGTAATAACGGCCGGTTTAATCGAAAATCATTTTATTTAATTATTTCAATTGGCCGTTTTTTCGGTTATTTTACTGATCCTATAATAACCAGCCATTCTTGATTATAATCCAATAATCGAAAAAAATTAATCGTCTTTGAAAAAAAAAAATATGTCAATAACCTTTGTATGATATATACATAAACCCTTTACTAGAAAAGAATTGTATGAATCATTTTTTACTCCTATAATTGTTTCTCCTTGTTTGTGTCTTTCTTTTTAGCTCTCGCGAAGATCTACAATGGGTGTTGGAACATCGAATATATATAATAAACACGGAGATTAAGGTAGGAAAGATATATATATATATATATATATATATATATATATATATATATATATATATATATATATATATATATATATATATATATACACAATTGAGGAATGTCAAAAATGAAATACATTAAAAATATATATAATCTTGTAGATAGAAAAAAAAAATGGATAAAAACAACAAATAATCCCTTATTTTTATGCATCATAGTGCTACGCCAAAAGTGATACTGAATCTTTCCAATTCATAAATAATAAACAAAAACTAAAATAATATAATGGTGCAATGAAAAGTAAATAAAAAGTTATCCTGGTTACATAATACATAATTAACTAGCATCTGATTAGATAGCGATGAGGAATTGGAATAGGGGGGTTTTGAATGAGGATAAAGATGGTTCATGGGATACGGAGGAGTTTGGGTATTGCATGATATTTGGATTAGATCATGCGACGATAAGAAGGAGACTGGTAATTGGGAAGATGAAAGGTTGTGCTGAGCGGAGTCAATAATATACAGGTCCAACCAAGTGTTGGACCTGGTGGTGTGATGAGTTGGAGAAAAAGGAATGATGAAAAGGTGAAGAGAGAAAAAAAGATTTTCGAGATATGATTTTTCGCTGGAGTCGGAAAGGAAATTAGGGTTTAAGTCACCGGAAATGATAATTTTGGAATACAGAGGAACAATTTGAAGAGGCATGGTTCGAAAGATGGATCAAATAGAACAAGAGGACGACGATATACAACGGTGTAGGGGAGAGAAAAGGTGTTACATGAGATCTCGACAGTTAGGAACTCGACTTGAGGCTGATCGGATGGAGTGGAATAATGGAGAGTTAGGGTCTTCAGGCTTTCATGAACTTACATATCTACACCTCCGCCAGTTTGGCTGTCCCGGTTGTGGCGGATTAGTATGTAGTTGAGAAGGAAAACAGAAGAGGATGGGATGTAAGGCTTGAGCCGGGTAAAGTAAAAGTTTTGGGTAAAGTAATCTAGGAATTCATCGTAATGAGCTGGAAGGGATTGGGAGTTGACGTAACAGGTGATTAGGACACTAGACATGAGTAGAATTTAGGAGAGTACAATGGATAATTGATGGGAAGACGCGGGGATAGATTAGATACCTTAAATGTGATGAAAAAATAAAATTAAAGAAGCCAGGAAATAAATGAATCGGTAAGTAACAATGGTACTATTTCCTATAAAAGTCCGGTGAGCGTGCCAAATGTTAATCGATGCTGGAAGGTGAACGAATTTCGAGCCGTCAGCCGAAGACATTTTAGTCCTTGGCCTGGTCGATAAAGACCACCTTATGACCGTCGTCTTTTCGGCACCTCAATCTGCCAGCAGCAAACCAAATGTATTTATCTCGCGGTTCTCTCCTGTCGAGCGAGACAGTATAGGTTCCTATTAATCTGGTTCATCTACTCGCTGAGATAAATACGGTAGCATTCATTTTCCTGCCAACCTATTTCCCGCGTCCAGAAGTCCCTTTTAATTCTCATATGTTACGTTAAATACTTTTTTATTTATGTAAAGACGTATGTAAAGATATAAATACATTTCTGAAATTGGTAGGAAAGTCGTGTGAGTGGAGAAACCAGATATTTTTATTTGTTTTTTCAAATTCACATTCCTCCCAATACTTATATAATTAAAAAGAAAAGTAATATCCTAAAAACAAATATTATTAAGTTTATTGATTATCATTACTAATTATTTCTCCCTAGGATTAGCCACCTCCAAATAATTTTTTGCTGCTGAAACAAAAAAATTGTTTTGGTCTCCTAAATGTCTCACAATTTATCCATATTGAATAGATATTTAAACAAAACACCATATTGTTCATGGGACTATCTATAATTTCTAAATAAATTACTTTCCGGAACTACCCTGTAAATGGATTTATTTGGTATTGGGACTGAATTCCTTTAATACAAAGAAGCAAAATTTATGATTTCCCTTTCCTTATTTCAGCAATAATGAAAGTTAAAATGTTTTGTCTATGGCGAGAATCGAACAAGGTGATGATCGATATAATATCCCCTCCACTTGCCATTTATTGTCAAGGATTAATACTCAGTTCGATTTCAGTTTGAGTAGTGGATGTTGTTAAGTCGTGATTCGCTCATTTTATCATTTATCTTTTATCATCCTTTCGTTGGTCAACTTTCTAAAGTTTAGTTGCGTTTTTTTTTTTTTTTTTTTAACCCCGTACCGAAAAAACTCCTATCTCAAACTAATTTCCGTAGGATGGGAAGAACTCTATACACAAACCAGAAAAAATACGATTTTGTTGAATCGAGAACAAAGGTTCACTTGGTGAGGGGAGAGGGTTTTGAGTATTTGATATTGGAGATAGACGGCAATTGAGATTTTTGGTCGAGGGTCTGCTTGAGACGGGTTTTTTGTCAACAACGTTCCTTTTTTCTCTCATCGAGAAAATTGTCAAAAGGAAAAAATTACAATAAAATGTGGTGTCTCGTTGTTCAGCCGTCATCAGTTGTGTTGGAAATTCATGTTCCTGCAAAGGCAAAAGGTCAAGAAGTTCTGGAAAAAGTAAGTTCATATTGCTGATCAATGATATATTTGTGACAGTGACAGTAGTTGATAAGGTATTAATTTATATTGGATTCATGTATTTAGTTTTAATGTATCCTAACAGTTTTGTTACTCTCCACAAGTGGTGAAATGTTTATTAATATGAATTTATATGTTTTAAAGATTAGTTGTATATGAATTAATTATTTCAAGTTGTACATACCAATTTTCACTATTTTGTTAGTATCTATTAATCAGGAGGCTTCTTGGCCAATTATCAATTAAGTTAAGTAGCCTTGTTCAAAAATATTTTTGCTAATTGAAAGAGGAATCATATGTTGTCCCATTGGTTTATAGTTATTTTATGTTTAGATGATAATTATTCTATAACAATTATAATGGTAGAGCTGATATGTCACCTGCTTTGAATGATTAATTCAGGAGATGATGGTTTGGGAAACAGTCAAATCGTAACTGAATTTAATTAATTTTGTATAATATCATCACAATCTTTTATTTTTTTAATTTATTGAAAAAAAATTTCATAAAACTGTAACGTCTTGTAATGGCAATATATTTCTTCAATTCAGTTTTATCTGAATTTTCTACAATATTTATCACCTAATATTTTTTGAATTTCTTTAATTGTCAAGACTACATTATTCCTTGTACCAAACTACATAATATAGATAATCTTTTAATTATACATCTGATAAGCATTGTTATAGGAGCCTGATAAATTGTTTAAATATATTTGTCCCTGAATTTAAAATAAAACTTATAAAATTTCAAAAAACTTTTAAAACTACTGTACTGAATGTAACTATGGCCCAATGTGAATTTAAATTCATTTTAAGAAATAAAATGTGTGACGGATAAAAAAAATTAAAGAATACTCATGATAGTATGTTATATTGAATATTTAATAGTTGACCGTTGCATTATAAAGGAAGGAGATGGTCCGGGGTTGCGGTCATAAAAAGGCTAAATAGTGGTAAAACTATTTTATTGAAAGCCATAAAATAATTCTTCAATAAAATAGTTTTACCACTATTTAGCCTTTTTATGACCGCAACCCCGGACCATCTCCTTCCTTGATAGTATGTTATTTATCTTTTCTAGACTTTTATGAAATATGATCAATAAAAGTGTATTTCTTATCAAAATATGGATATTTATAATGTTCTACTTGTTTGAATTTTAGACCACATGAATATGTGGTTATTTAGTTGTTGCTTTACCTGTATTTTTATTAAGACATATGCGTATAGCATAACATATACATAAAACACTTTTTTTTTTCAAAGTATATTTTTACCTTTCTTGTATGTTATATTATTAAGTAATAAATTAGGTCATTCTGCAAAGACAGTTGTCTTACCCTTTTTTTCAATTTAAAATTTTCCCTCATCATATTGTCTAACTTAAGCGATATCTATACTGTGTTCGTTACCTCAACAAAATTTTCTTGTGTATGAAAAACTTAGTGAAGAGATTTAGGTGTTAAAAAGTTGATTTCTTGCTTTATAGATCCTATATTCAAAATATTCATTTTAAAAATGCAGTTAAAGAAAAAGATTCAAATGGACTTGAGTTTCCTCAGATTCAATACTTTTGCTGTCTCGTTTCAGACCTGCAATCATATATTTAGGATATATGATTCCTATGATTATTTATTATTTTTTTCCTAACAATATCTTAGTTGATATTTACTATTGTAGGATGTATTAATTATAATATATTTAATAAAACATTGCAGCTTGCATGATTTAATAAAAATAGTTGTCATAAAGGAATTAACGTAGAAAAGTAATGTGAGTTAAAAAAAAACATAAACACATCATTAAAAATTGTTTCAAATCAAATATTTCAGAAAAATATATTCAAATTTTGGGAAATTGTAAAATTAAGTTTAAACTGAATTAAGTGCAATTATTACACTTATTAAAAACTCTAGTAGATTCAAACAAATAAAGTATAGCTAAATTAAACATTACAACTACTATTCATGTTTCATCCCTCACAATTTATTATCAGAACATTTTTGATATAGATGTATTAAAATTTATAGAAGTAAATAATTTCTATAAATTAAACTAAGATAAAAAAAATAATAGTATAACATATAAAAATCTAAAATAGTAATACATTATGTTAAAAAGAATTGTTTTGTTTTAAATAGAAATAATAAGAGAAAATGAAAAGATAATGTTGAAGAATAATCTTTTCATTTCCTGGCAACACCACGAAATTTAAAGCATACTTGTTAATTATTGTAAAAGGTATTTACAATTTTCTAAAAATAAACTAAAATAACAATTAATGCAACATTAATATTTAAAAAAATAGAAATTAAGGATAACTCTTGAAACCAAATTGAATACAATTCAATTTTTAAAATATAAAAGAATGAATATTCTTTAGTGGCAGAAGTGTGTTATTTATAACATAGGTACATAGACATTATTTTAATGATCCTTACACCTCACAAGAAATAAACTAAAAATAATGATAACAAATAATATGACGTGTAAATAATTTCATAAAAATGAATTATAACATATTTTTATTTATGGGTGATAAATATTCAGGTCGCAGTCATAATAAAGTTTTTATTAGTACCGACGTCAACCCAAACATGTGGGTCATCATCAGGGCTGAAAATTTTTTATTACAATCAGAAATATATTATTATAGGGCAGATAATGGTTAATAATAATAATATAGTGATTGATGATATGAAATAGACAAATGAAATATGTAAAAAATTATACAAACTAAAAATAATGTATATAATCAGTTTATAAAACATATAATATTTTCTCTTACTAACCATGGTTCGAGCACTCAAGGTATTCAAGTACTGACTTTTTGGTAGGTAAATAAAAGGGTCAGGGAAGGATTTCCCAGATGTGCTTTTTCAAATAGCAAAAGATAGGTAAACATAGTCCGAGGGAGGTGGATAACATTTCTCTTACTAGAATGCAAATAATTTGCTGACTAAATTCTGTGCTCAAAACATGGTTAGTAAAAGAAAATATTACATATTTTGTAAATTGATTTTATACATTATTTTTAGTTTGTATAGCTTTTTATATAGTTCACTTCTCTATTTCATATATCCTCAGTCAATATATTTTTATTATTAACCATTATCAGTCGTATAATACTATATCTCTGATTGTATTAAAAAATTTTCAGCTCTGATAATGACCCACATGTTTGGGTTGAAATATCGGCACTAATAAAAACTTTATAATGACTGCATCCTGAATATTTATCACCCATGATATGTAAAACAGTCGACTAACTTTCTCCAATATTTATATTTAAATTTCTACACAGCCTGACTCTAATCTGAAAGCTTTAAAAGATTGTTTATATATGTGTGTGTGTGTGTACGAAAGAAAAAACAAATTGCAAAATTTTATTATTTTTTCTGTAATACTGTTTTCTGACTTTCGTTATATTTTTTGATTGATATGGAAATTCGTATTTAAGGAAGCGAATTACAAATCTCAAATTCGTTTCTCCTTAAAAACATATTTGAACTCACTTTACTCCAAGTCGTACAGAACTGATATTACGTATTTAAGATAGGTATATGCCTTAGATGTGATAGCAACTTTTTTCTTAAAATCGGCTAACCGGAAATGCCACTTTATATCATCGCTGAAACACATCTTTACAATTTTCTCAAAACCGGCTCTAACGATTCTGATTAAACTCGGTGTATCATTGTATAATTAAGTGGTCTTTAATATCAATTAGGTCTTATCCCCGTTGATGTCTCTTTACAGGGCTTAAATGCCCAATGTTCATATGCGTCTTCCTCTAAAGTATCTTTAATATGGTTTATTTTAAAAAGTCAATCATCTCACATTGTTCAGAGTTATGAAAAAATGCTAAATATAGCTTCTGAAAGATTTTGATAAGTTAATAAAGGAGAAAAAAATAAAAATGCTCATCCAGGTCGAAAATGAATCTCCAGAAATACCGGTCAGAAAATATACGTATAATATATCGTTGGAAAGCGCAGAATTTTAGAAAAAAACAATATCTAATATAGAAAGTTGTAGAAGGTAACGGAGAGTGACGAAAACATTATAAACAATAATGTCAGAAAACTAACATTACTTAACATAAATCACATGATTCCAAGGAAATTAAATGAAATTTTCTTACTACATGTAAACTTTTAAATGTTTTTCTAATATTGAGTACAAAGTATTTAAAATCCACCGAATCTAGCCAATGTCACTGTTTAAAATACTATTTCATTGTACTTGTGTGAAAGAAGAAGTGAAATATAAAAATATTTCATGGATAAGTTTATAACCTCAGATATATTTACTATAGAGTATTAACTCTAGATAAGATATTATATTTAAATAATTTGGTATCTATCGGCCGTTTATTTAAAAAAAATCATCAAGTAACCTTAGAAAGTTGAATTAGTGAATAATTTGATAAATTTTCCCTTAGTGAAATTCCAACATTACAATTAGTGTAACAACTTTTGTCCTATCCATGGCAGGCAATCAAAATCTCGTAATTTTAATAAGCTTTTCTATGGAAAATAACAGCTTAATAACTAATAGTCCTACAATCCATAATCATTTATAGGTTAAATATTCAGATGTACTTCTGAATCTCTCCAGGCATATATGAGCCTTTCGATTGACAGTATGACTAACTCCAATTTCAACATTCTTTATTATTAATTTTAGTGATGTTTCTAGTGGCAAAATTTATACCTTTATTCACAGTTCTATATTTCGACACTGAAATTACCTACTATGGAATCAACATACTCACTGTATGTATAGATATACAACTAGGAATATTTTCCAACTAGGAATATCACTAAAATGACATTACTAAAAAAAGTTGAAATTGGAGTTAGTCATTCTGTCAACTGAAAGGCTTAGAGACTGGAGTTGTGTGATTTATAAAAGCAGATGGAGTGACTAGATTTTTTTTGCCTACCAACGATGTAATAAATAGACTTTTTGTAA